TTTTTTTTTTTTTTTGATTTCTTTCACGTACTTTTAAAACCCGTTTAAATTTCGCATACAGAATGCGGGAATTGCAGTGGAGAATTGTTCAACTTTATTCATGTCACCCTTTCCGTAAAACTAATTTAAACCGTACGTTATTTCCACGTGCTGCCCACTTACACCAAGCTGCAACATTAATGTGCATACTATCTTCAGTTGTACCAAGTTCTCGACTTTGCCATGTGTAATTACAAATAAACACCAAGTTCATGTGCCATCAAGCGCGACTATAACTTTCCCAGGCATCACCGTCCAGTCCAAAAGTAATCTGTAGACATGGGCATCTCAGACTGGCTCAATAATTCCTAAACAGTAAAGCACCATCTGAATTGGAAGTAAAAGTAACTATAACTTCAGTTTAAACTACGTCCTTAGTGGTGCAACAAGCCTGGATGGAGATCAAAACTTGAGCTTCTCATCACGCATGAAAGATGATACGCTGTATTGAACAACACATTTTGACGCTTGGAACCTGCCCTAACGGGCAAGCCACGCAAAATTTTATTCTGCACCAGAACAACAACACATCTTTGACAACGCGGTGTCACATTATCGCTAAGCAAACTACCACTTTCTCCTCATGCCTTCCTCCAAAAAAGATCCTGTGTGCCACATTTTGTCTGAGCCCAAAAACAAGAATCCTCTAAGAAAAAAGAAAAGAAAAAAATCAAAAGATGCGTAGTAGAACCAGTTCAAAACACAAAAACTTTGACAAATAAGTTCTCTAAAGACATCTCAAATCCCGCCTAGGTAGCAGACAATCCGTCCTCCTCCCGTAACCAACTGATCTACTTTTATAAACGAAGATCCTCGAACTTCTTTGCTTGGGAAAACTTTCATTATCCGGTTTAGCGACAATCACCACTTAAAAAAATATTCAAATATGACCCGTCAACAGCATGAATACAAACAAACATAATAATTGAACAAAAGACTGTACCAAACAGTACGTTATAATTACGTCAATAATGGAGAAAAATACAAACTGAGCAACGTAAAAACAGAAATCAACACTTACTTCATAAAAAAAGACTACCCATTGAAAACTGTGACCGCAAAAGAGAATAAAGATAATGACTTTTACTTTTTACAACTTAATTTTGCAATTAACCGCCTGACAATCTGATCCCGATATCTGTAAAGAAACTGCGAGTAAAGAAAATAGAACGGTTTGCGTTAAAACGATTTGCAGACTGAAAAGCCGGGATCCTAAAGTGAAAAAAAAAGACACGCAAAACCAGGACTTATAACCATAAAGCCCAAACGAGATTAGACATCATGGAGGCACATTCTACAAAGATCTTTTTAAGTGACGCACGTCCAGTATTATCACCTAAAAAGCATTTAGCTATTACGAACGAGCGAATTAACTAAATTATACTACTTTAACTACACTATTTTTGATTATCGAACAGCCAGTAGACAAATCAGTCCTCTTATCTAAATTACAGTAAAATCAGATAACGGAATAAACTGACCGTCCCACCACTTGTAGAAGCAGCAACTTTATCCCCGCGGCAGTTCCATGCCACTTCAAATACTCCACCATCACTGAGGTCCCCAGTATAAGTTTGAACTATACTCCCAGTCTTCAATAAATCAATATCGCAAAATAGAAACCAAAGTCAGCTAATTTTTACCAAAGACTAAATTTTTAGAGCTTCACAGCTGATATTCCTTAAAAACTGTTCATAGAACTCACCTTAACATCCCAGATGCACACGGATCTATCAAAAGATCCAGAAGCCACATATGTGCCATCCGGTGAAAAATTCACTGAATATACAGGCTCTGTATGCCTCACGAGAGTTTGCAAACACTTGCCATCTCTCGCATCCCATAGTCTTACTGTCTGATCCACTGACGCACTACAAATATTCGCTAACTGATGAAGCGGCAATGTAGACTACCAATATGGTATAATATATAGCTTATGAATTTACAGAGTAAAGTTACGAAAAGGAGAAACTTCTATCTGATACTGACAAAATAAGTGATGAAAAGTTTCTGTTTAGTAACAAGCGAAAAAAGAACGAAAGAAGCTCAAAAAACAAGCTAATAGGTTGTGCACAGCTTCACAAGAAGTAAAAAAAAGCAAATGACAGCTTCTAACGACTGAAATAGAGCTGTAAAAAGGAAGAATTAAACAAGTACCTAGCAACCACGTAGCCCAAAGGAGACCACCGAATTGTATAAATTTCTTTTTCATGAGAGTCAAAATTATATACCCATTTGTCGCTATGTAAAGACCATATCTAAAATAAGTTCAATTAGAATTGATACACCTAGCAGGAGAATACTTTATAAATATCTAACTGTAACAAATGGTTGAAGAAAGTATTCCGTAACTAATTTTTCTTACCTTAAGAGTCATGTCATCTGAACAAGACGCTAGAAGCTGCGAATGAACGTCGTACTTAATGGCATTGATTTCATTCGTATGACCCTAAAAACAAACTTATCAATAATATTTTTATCAAAAATAAAATTTATTAGTTAAAACTGAAGTTAGAAATAACTCACCGAATAGGTCATCAAAGCTTTATCACATCCGAGCTTGCAGACGAAGATCTGTTTGTCAGTACTACATGATGCAAAAGTGTCATCAGAGATCCAATCAATATCCAAGGCTGAACTGGAATGAAGTTGAAACCGTTGCATTTCAATACCACGGTCAGCGTTCCACACAATAGTTGTCTAAAAGAACAATGAAGTAAATTGCATAACTTGCCTAAGAAATTAAGTAAGACGACTGCATCAAAAAAATATTTTCCACTGCATGAGATCACATGCTTGAAAAAGCTTGCCTTATCAACTCCGGCGCTTAAAATTTTATCACCTTTTTCGCTCCACTTCAGAGCAAAAATAGGGCCTTGGTGTGCAGCTAATACACAAATAAGATCGCCTAAAAAAACAAAACTATTCATGGATTTGTAATAAAGAATCAAATAAAGGAAAAAAGAACTGGATAAAGTGAAAAATATAAACTGACCATCCTGCTTCCAAACCCTTGCCCTTCCGTCATAACAACCAGTTGCAAGCAAATCACCGTTGCACTAAAACAAAAATGTCAAAAATAATTAAAATCACTCTATAAAAATGTAAAACTAAACTTACATTCCAGTCTATAGAAGTGACATCTTTGATGTTGTTTTTCTCACTAATACTAGCTGCAAAAGTATGTTTGAGAGTTTTCACAGTACTTATTATTGTCTGAGACGTCGTAGACGACAAGTCTGATCCTCTAGTGTTCCAAATCTTCACAGTGCTGTCGCCAGACCTAAAGTCATCAAATTACCTGTTGCTCATCAGATAATTCCCAGTCAATACAGAGATCCTTGGAATATTTTCTAAGCGTCAAGACCTTTTAGAACTGAGAATCAAATTAGAATACACATCCTGTCCAAAGAGAAGGTGTTAATAACACCGGACTACGTTACAAAAAAAATAGTAAAGCTTCCTATCTAGTACCAAAGACACAACATTTTAACCTACCCCGTAGCGATGAGATCATTTACAGGATTCCAAGAACACACAAACACTTCGCTCTCATGACCTTCCAATCGTCGTATCTGAAATACAAACGGTTCTCCAAAATCATAAAGACGTCTTTCAAGAAACCTAAATCTTTAAGGAAACAAGCACACCCTACTCTAGCCGCCCGTCACAAGAGGTCAGGAATTTACAAGAACTTGATAGCCTTCTATGCAGCAATAAATTACTCATCACAAGAACGTTGCCTAGATGCGTAAGAAACCGTGCCAAACCGCAAAATTATTTCACACCACACAAATTCACCCCCTATTCAAAACCATTTTCAGACCAAGAAATGAATTTGATTAGCATTTTCCAACGAAACTACTGGAGTAAAACATGTTTTTGAATCTCAAAGAAAATGACTGTGCGCGGAATCGAGCATAGAAGAACCCCAAACACTGCCTATTGATACAAGAACTAAGTGTCCCAAAAAATTTTGAAAATGGGAAGATAGAGAATTCATAACAGAAAAAAAAAGGAAACAAATTGAACACGGTCAGTCGGGAATTACCACTCACCCTTCAGATTAAGAATTTAAAGTGGAGGGGACTGAGAACCCGACCTAATACACTTCCCACCAGATAGCTGCACGAATTAAACCACAAGTTAAGGGCAACAAATCATCCCAATCAGAAAAAGAATGCAGTAACCCTTCCAACAAGTCAATAAACTTTCCAAGATGGCTGGATGAAACGCCAAAAAAGAAAACGAAATAAACAAAAGAACTCCAGTAGCAGTTCTGGGTCAAATGGTCAGCTGATGAATCAGTTGCTGTTTTCAAGAATTATTTCTTTAAGTGCTTTATTTTTGAAAGTTTAACAATCGAAAAACAGTATTATCAAGAAAGCTAAAACATATGTACAATATTCACCAGCCAAGACATGAACAACTTAAATTCGTTTCATAAACTGCTACCTTCTCTTTGCTGATTTCATAAGGTTTGCTCTCCATTGGCAGCGAAGATGCATATGTCCCATTACCATTTTTCATACGGCCTATTGAAACCCCGTCCAACTCCATGGGCGTGCCGTTAATATTCCTAAAATGTGTTCTTCGTGATCGCCTTACTGAACTTATGCACTTTCGATTTCTGTGGGTTTGTCTACTGCTAAATCAATACACTTACACGGGAGGCAACTAAAGCAATATAATTCTTGCCAATAACCCTGCGAGAAACATAAAACAAATTACAAGAAGAGATTCCAGATCAAACGCAATATTCACTTCTCAAAAAACCACAAAATGTACACTGGTATCAACAAGAACAGATAATTTACAATTTCAAATTCAATGTCTTAAACCAAATTGTACAATCTGCTAATTACAAAAAATGGCCATAACCAAGCCAAATTACAAACCTTTGAGAGACGTAAACGACACAAAAAATCATACTCGTTATCAACATTATCTCTACAACCCGAAGCAAAGAAGAATGTGCTGATAAAAAAGAAAATATGAAAAACTTCTGCAAAAAATCACTACGAAAATTTTTTACAAGGTTATAAGTCTGTTATCTACTTGAAGCTGTGATTCTTCAGCTAAGCCTTATGTCTTCAACCTAAATCAATTAAATCAGGCTTCCCAGAGTCTCAAATACAAGGCACTTTATAGGAGAAAAAACACTGCCTTAAAAAAAAGGCAAAAATGGTAAACAGGAATAAAACGCAAGAATCAAGAACGAGGAAATTAAAATGAAAAAATGAGGAAAATATTGTAAGAGGAAACCTTCAACAAGGCCGTAACTCACTAAAAGGCAAAAAGTTGCAAAAACTCTTCATGTGAGAACTCTCTAAATAGCGACAAAATGCCAGTTGTGAAAACATATATTATAGTACAACTGAAACAAACCCGTTAGCATGTGTTGCCCTATATTCTGCAGCTATTTTTAATTTCCCGACTTGACCATTATTAACGACACGATCTCTAGATTCTCTCTCTCGCTCCACCTTAATCTGATGATTTCCAGTAAAAACTTGATGCTGTCTATAATTCTGATTTGTTGAGGATGGAAGTGAGTGATGACTATTAGCGCTACTTGACGCCATTTGGTTATTCAAGTTATTCATCCCGCTAAAACCCGCTGCATTCGAGGAAGAACCACTAGCAACGGGTGCGTTGAACGAACATTGAGTAATTGGAATCTGCAAAAGTTCCATCAGAAAAGACAGGTCTGAAAGTTTCGGAACGAAATATCCACAATCTTTTCAGGTGGAAGGATTTACTGATGAATTATAAGATATCACTTTCCAATACACGCTTTGAGTCAAATGTTGAAGAAACGTGCATTTTAAAAAACTTGACTAACAGAATAAGAGTTTGTAAAGTGAGAAACCGATTGAAAATGAACAAGCATGCTAAAAACTTACACTATCTTCTTCTTTGGAAGCTCCAGGCCCATTTCTTCTTTCTTGATGAATCTCTCTCATTTCTCTATCTCGCACTTGTTGCATATGTTTCTCATTGCTATTAACTACGGAAACCGATTTTGAGGCTTTAGAATCTTCCCCACTTGCCTTCTCTCGTTCCTTGGTTGCCGACAAATCATTCAGCACTGAAAACCGTATCTACGATGCAAAAGGTCTTATCTTCCAAGAAAGGATGTAGTAAGGAAAGCTAAATTGTTCCAAACTCTAGGAAAAACACCAAAAACCTAAAAAACATGCACTTTAAAAAAAGTTGACCATCAAGAAACAAGCCCAAAAAAAAGAAGCAACCAACCAGCTTCCAATAAAGTCAGATTATCCATCACGGGTTTATCACTACGAGCATCACCTGCCGCACTTGTACTTGCAATGGAGCATAATTCAGCCTCCGTGTAAAAAATTCCTTTCTAAACAAAAACGATGATACGACCAAAAATAATGCTTAGGTGTACTGAGAATGAATAAATCAAAATCAAAAACCTGCACGACGTTAATGAGCGCTCCCATCGGTATATCGCTACCCGCTATTCCTGATTCCAAAACCCGAGATTCAGATGCAAAGGTAAACGCGGAATGCTCAAAACCTAAAAAAGAAAAAATTTTCCTTCATTTTCCTTTCCTTCAAAATTAATCTCTACTTCACCAATAATCCATTAAAATAATCCCTACCTCCAAAATTCCCACTTACTTTAATTAGTTAACAGTTCTATGCTATGTAGGTAATAATCTTGAAATTTTAAAAAATAAAAATAAAAAAAGCTTGAAAAAACTAAAATAAAAAAGCTTGAAAAAACTAAAAAATAAAAAAAAAAACAAACCCGATTCATGCAGATATCGATATATAAGGTAGTTGATGTCGTCACTTGAAAAACTCATATTCCAGACAACAAAACAACCCAAAAATGTGAAATAATAGAATACAACACTGAATTCAACTCTGCTATCGTTTCACTAGGATAACATCAGACTTATTCTGAAAACAATAAAACTGAATAAGAATAGGCGAAATAATTCAACGCCTCAGCACCGCAAAACAACCAGATAAACGAATTGAATAATCCAAAGATTTTAGAAACCAATTGGAATATAATACTTGTCAACTTTTTTTTTACCTACTTCTTCCATCCACAGACTGCGTATTTCCACCAATACTTAATTATACATACATATATTTGTTTATATATATATGTATATATATATATATATATATTTATTTATTTATACTTATATTTATATATTCATATCACAAATAGATCTTTAGAATAAACAAACTTGTAAAGTTAGCAACAACAATAAAAAAAAAAGTAATCAATGATAATAATA